GGGAAAGAGAAGCACCAATGAAAATGTCTCTTAAAATAACTTAGGGCCCTGGGCAGAAATGTGGACACAGAACACAGGACAGAGGAGGTCTGCCCAACCAGCCAGAGCAAGGGCACGGCTATCGGGAACAAGGACGGCTGGGGCTGATTTTCAGCTAGCAGAAACTGCAAAAGCTCCACTGGAGACAGTTTATACCAGCTGAGAAGCGGTCCCAGGAGCATGTGAGTTGAAGTAAAAAAAAAAAGGCCCTGGGCAGAAATGTGGACACAGAACACAGGACAGAGGAGGTCTGCCCAACCAGCCAGAGCAAGGGCACGGCTATCGGGAACAAGGACGGCTGGGGCTGATTTTCAGCTAGCAGAAACTGCAAAAGCTCCACTGGAGACAGTTTATACCAGCTGAGAAGCGGTCCCAGGAGCATGTGAGTTGAAGTAAAAAAAAAAAAATGCGGTAAACAGCCCAGACCAAGCCAGGGGGAAGAATCATAGAAACTATGGAAACGTAGGGGTGAATGTGGTCTTGTGCCATCGTTAGTCCAGCCCCACTGAGGCAGGACCAAGTAAACCTCCAGACACAGGGATTCCAGAACCTCACCTGGAAATCTAGTCCAGCACTTAATTGGCCTTTAGATGGTAGGAAAAACATTCTTACGACATTGATAGAAATGTAGCCGTGTTAGTCTGGTGTAGCTGAAACAAATTGTATCCAGTTTGTGGGGGACATGGGGCAGAAAGAGAGACCCCTGGACAAGACAGACTCTTCTGCTGGATTGAGTTTGTAGCTGGAGAGTTTAACAATATTATCCGGTGGGTTGAGGTTGTTGCTGTTGTGCAGGACGCTTGCCCTGCACTGGCCCTTTAAGGGCAAAAACCCAGCCTGAAGCGGGGGCTGCTAGTGAAGCCCCAGCTGAGGCAGTTGTGGCTAAGCAGGAGGGTTGCTGGAGGTAGAGCAGGGCTGGGAAGCTTTGGCCAAGCAAGCTCCCAGGGTGAAAGGCCAGAGGCTACTGGGGCTGTGAGGGCAGCTGGGGTAAGCAAAGGCAGCAGGCCCACACCCCCTTGCTAATGATGAATGGCCATTACAGATGGCAGTTTGCCCTGAGGCAGGGGCTAGGTGAAGACTGACGAGGGGTCACTGAGGCAAGGTGGGTACAGGGGAACTGGGTGTGCCTTAGGAGGGGAGGACCCTGGAGCGTGCAGTTGGGTAAACATCTCCTCTCCTCTCCCCCTGGAAGGGGGCACAGAGAGACTGGTGTGGGCACTGCCATGGGGCGGTGTCCTGAAGAGGACGCTGTGGTCAAAGAGTGAAACGGGTCTGGACTAGAGGGAAGAGCAGAACATGGGGAGACACCAGCAAGAGGGAGGCATCCAGTGAAGCTAATTCCCAGGACTGCTGGCTGGAGGGGACATGGTGGTGAGCCTGCCCTGTGACAATTCTAATATAATTTAGATGCTAATTATGCTGGTTATTACTTGCCTACCCGTGATGGACATGGAGAACAGTTCTCTTTATAGCCGCCATTTACATATTTGCAGTTGCTGGCATGTTCTCCCTCGTCTCTAAACTCAACTCGCCCTATTCTCTCAACTTTACCTCGTAGGTCAGATTTCCTACAGCTGTAAAGTTCTGTTGCTCTCCTCTGGAGTCTGCAACTTGTCCACATCTTTCTTAAAGATGCCCCCAATTGGCTGTCCAGCTGAGGCCTCCCCAGTGCTGAGCAGAGCAGGATAGTTCCCTCCCATCTCGGATAACACACCCAAGAATGACACTTGGTTTTTTTCACAACAGCTTCTTGATTCATATCAGTTTGTGATCCGCTATATGCCCCGGATCCTCTTCTACAGTACTGCTGCCTAGCCAGTTATTCCCATTTGTATTTGTACATTTGACTTTTATTTCCTAAGTCTAGTACTTCGCACTTGCCTTTACTGAACCTCGTTTGATTTCAGACCAGTTCTCCAATTTATCATGATCATTTTGAATTCCAATCCTAATCCTATCTCCCAAGCTGCTTTCACCCCCTCTAGTTTGCTGTTAAATTTTCTAAGTGTACTCTATTCCATCATTCAAGCCATTAGTGAAAATACTGAATAGTCCGGACCCCACTAGATTCATCCTTCCAGTTGACAGTGAAAAAACTAGTTACTCTTTGAGCACTGGGGCTTTTTTAAACCAGCTGTGGATCTTTTATAGTAATTTAATTTTGAGCACTGGGTCTTTTTCAACCAGCTGTGGATCTTTTATAGTAATTTAATCTGCATCATATTTTCCCTACTTTACTTCTGAGACTGTCATGTGGTACTGAGTGAAAAGCCCATCTGAGACTGCTGTATTGGGCCAGACTGTAACACCTTTATGGTGACGGCTAGAAACAAGGGTTTCAGGTGCTGAGGTCAGAGAGAGAACAGCTGGTGTGTATACTTTTGTGAAAGAGAGAACCTAAAAGTGGAGTTGTGAAACTGTAAGGTAGAAAGAAGTAACACAGACACTGATCTAACAAAAAATGGCAGGGCAGGCTGTGAGGAAGGCAGTTCCAGCACACGGTGGTGAGACCCTCTTGGGAGTAGCTGGTTAGACTTCCCCAGAGATGAACTGAGCCCCAACTTCTCAGCTAATGCTGGGTTTTGGAAAAAGCGCTCTGGGTGGTCGTGGAGGCTGGCCTCGGAGGACAGGTGCGAGGCCCATACCTGATGGCAGGGCGCAGGATTGCATTGCCGATAACAAAGTGCACTTTTTCGAGGTTGGACATGGGTCTGTCTGAGATTGTGCTCTGCTCTTGGATTAGCTCCTCCCTACTGTTCAGCTGGCTCACCACCTGAAACAAAAAGGCAGATTTCTCAGGAGCTCTTCTGGGCCAGTCAGTTGCAGCTGAGTCCAGGAATTGATAACTCGACTGTATCTCCACAGCCAAAACATCCCCAGCATAACCCAGGGCATGTCTACACTAGCTCGGTAGTTCGAGCTAGGTAGGCAAATGAGGGCAACCGGAGTTGCAAATGAAGCCCGGGATTTAAATATCCCGGGCTTCATTTGCATGTTCCCGGGCGCTGCCATTTTTAAATCCCCCTTAGTCTGAACTCCGTGCCCGCGGCTACACACGGCACAGAGTAGGTAGTTCGAATTAGAGACCCTAATTCAAAATACCATTACTCATTCCACAAGGTGTACCAGTAGTTTGAATTAGGATCTCTAATTCGAACTACCTACTCCGTGCTGCGTGTAGCCATGGGCACGGAGTTTGGACTAAGGGGGATTTAAAAATGGCAGCACCCAGGAACATGCAAATGAAGCCCGGGATATTTAAATCCTGGGCTTCATTTGCAACTCCGGTTGCCCTCATTTGCCTACCTAGCTCGAACTAACGAGCTAGTGTAGACGTACCCCCAGTGACAGCTGAGCACTGACCAAACCATCAGCTTTCCCCTGTAAGTTCACCCCAAATATCTACTGCTGCAGCATTACCCTCATCGACCAGCTGGCTATACTTGTGTGACTACTGGCTCGGCTGTGCAATAGCGAGAATTCCCTGCTGCACTCATGTTCCTTAGTGATGGGTATTCTTAAAACATCAAGCTAGATATAAAGGATCTCTGTTCTCCATCAACTAAGAGACTTATTTAATAACATAGGTGAGGAGCCAGGTCTAGAAGCTGCTCCTTCACCTTCAAACACACAAGCTTTTCCCTCTAGTGCAGCAGTGAGCAGATGCCAGCCTGCGGGTCAGCTCTGGTTTTACCTGCACCTCCATGGGTGCTTGCAGTTCCTGTTGGCCATGGATTACTGTTCTCAGCTAATGGCAGCTACAAGCACCCATACCTATGGAGACGCAGGTAAATATAGTGGTGGTGGTCCGCCGGGCCTAACCCTTGCGAACCACCACCGTCTTATTGCCCACCCCTGCTCTCGTGCCAATGCAGAGCTCCTCTAGCCCGTGTTAGCGGTAAGTTCAGTGAACCATGCAGTAGCAAGCAGCATCCTTTCCCCCTTCATGCACCCAAAGCCAATGGGGTCACCATGGGATGTGCTCAGGAGAGCTGTTGAGACCCTGGCCCTGGCCTAAGGACTGCTAACCTGAGCCCTAGCTATGGGAATGGGAAACAGGACCCAGGACTTTGTTAGTCAGGACAACAGACCGTTATCGACTGTTTTTCATTTACTGAAAAATGGTAAATGGCAATTTTCAGTAACCCTAGCGATGCTCATTTCTGTTAGAAAAGTGGTGAGAAACTGGGTCATTTAAAACACTGCAAAAGGGAAACAATTTGGACATTTGTTGTTTTCAAGCCGTTCTAAGGCCTGTCCTTGCTAGGGAGGGGTAGGGCGCTTAGCCTGGAATCTCTGGCTGCCAGGATTAGAAGAGGCTAAGGCAGCTGTGAGGTCGCGTCTACACAGCAGTTATTTCAAAACAGAGCACTCTTCCCCCAACTTCCCTTCCTCCTCGGACAATGAGGGATTCAGGAGTTGGAGTAAGAAGCCCGTTACTTCGAAACAATGGGCTTGCTGTGTAGACGCACACTATGTTATTTCGGAATAATGTCAGTCTTTCCGAAATAACACTGCTGTGTAGACATAGTCTGAGAGAACTGGTGGAGGGATTGTCCTTTAGAGGAGCGGAAAAAAATCAAACTTGAATCTCCCCATGTAAGTACAATAGGACCTGGGGACTGTCCAGGGGTGCATGCCAGGGAAAAAGTGGATGAGAACATGCAGTTTGTGCTCTGGAGGAATGGCCTGAGAGGGGAAGGGCAAGACAGTAAGCCGTGGGAGGCAAATACTCACTGTATTTGTACAGCCCCTAGCACAGTGAAGCCCTGAGGAAAGCCTTTAGGCCCCCTACACAATACAACTCTTAACAAACTTGTGCAGAAGAGCCACACTTTGGCAGGGCTGGAGGAAGTGGTCCTGTCAGGAGATGAATGACTCAGTAGGGGCCGTGTGTGCGTTTCAGTGGCAAGTAGTAGAGC